TTTTAATATATTTTTTTCTTTTCTATTTTTCTATTTTTTCTTTTTTGCTTCTATTTTTTTCTTTTTTCTTTAGTTTGTATTCATTTTTATTGTTGTAATTGTAATTTTTAACAAAATTACTATTTTAAAAAATGGTCACGTACAAAACAAAATAGTCCTCCTATACTTTCCTTGATTGAACTTAATTCCTGGTGATTGCATGAACACTTCCATGTAATTTTCTTGACAATACTGTGGACGTGGTTTACCATTGCCTTCTTCTGGGGTGGTTTGTTTGCTTTCTAATTTCCCAATCTAGTCTACCACCCTGGAATTTCCTGATGACCTAACATCCAAGTGCTAACCATGTTGACTTATCTTCCAAAATCAGCCATAGTTGGCTAGATGTTGCAGTGAGTTACAGCTGCTGAAGTTTCCTGTGCTCAAAGCTGTTAAACATATATCATTTTACACCTACCTGTCCTATCCAGCTCTTCTTTCACCACAGCATAAGCTTGGCCAGAGGTGGATCCATTAGGCCCATGATCAAGTTCATGAGTCCCCTCTCTTAAGTGTTTCCCCTTCTTCCTGCTCCTTGCAGTTGTGCCTGTTTGTTTCCCTTTAGTAAACACACATCAGGCTACAACATACGCAAAATGAAAAACAAGATTTCATCCCTATATTTTCTAACTATGGAAGCCAATTAGACTGACAATGTAATCTTCCCTCCAGCATTTGCCCTGGCAAATAACAAGAAAAAGAGATGGCTTCTGTCACTTGTCTGTTTGCACAAAGATGGCTGTTTGGAGTTACACCAGCAGAAGGCGGCTTGTAAATGAGCAGCAATGGAAAAGTAATCAGTAGGGAGCAGTATGAGCAACTCACACAGTGGTGCTCACTTCCCACAGGCCAGCAGTAAGCACAAATCAAAGGGACTTATGTATCTCCTGACTGTTATCGCTGTGTGAGAATTGATCTTGGAAGTTTTCATTCATCAGGTAAGGTTTTCTCCAACATGGCTGTTTCCAAAATGTTAACCCTGCCTTCCTCCCCTTACATTTCCCTAAATTATTCTGCCAATGTAAGAACATTTAGATATACTACCCAAATACAGTTGAGCTTGTGGAACTTACTTGAAAGTCAGTGCCACCAATCTGAGGAATTATGCGTGGAATTCAAGAATATCAGGAACTAACAAGTAACATTGTTGGTTGATTAGCTCAGGTAATTGGTGCTGCTGTTTATGATGTATCATCAGCAGACTTCCTGAGCCTCATGGGACTAGAACCGCCAGAGGTTCTTGAATAGTCCCAGTACACCAGGCTGAGAAAGGTTAGCATACAGGTAGGTTGTGATTAGTGCAAGTTCAAATAATGCAATATTCTAGTGTGGATTGTAAATTGATACTAGGTTGTATTTAATGCAACCCAAAATTCAGTTAATGCAAGGCTAGCGCGTGCACAATTGAGGCTAGCACATGAGCAGTTGCGGTTGGGATTTTAGATGCTGCTAATCTTCGTGTGTACAAAATGGAGAAAAAGAAGATTCTGTCAGAGGAAAACAGTACAAGTTGAAAAAAGAAGAAGCTTGTTACTACGTTAGAGCAAAAATTTGATGTAATTGAATGACATGAACACGGTCATAGCTACAGTAAAATAGGATGAGCTTTTGGAATGCCTGAATCTCTGGTAGAATTCTTTTGTTTTTATTTTGCTTTCTATAACTACTCTGTGACTCTGTTAACCATAAATTTAAATTATAAGTATGCCCTTTTTATCCTTTACTGTAATATTTCATTAAATACATATAAAAATTTGTTTAAAAATTTTCATTGCCTATTTCCATCAAGCTGGAACCACTAACCTTATTCTCCATGGAAATATCACTTTGAATAATGCAAATCTGAATAACACGACCATTTCGTGGGATTCATTAACCGCACTAATTGAGACCTACCTGTATTAGGGGGATCAATTACTTGACTATAAAGACCTAAAACAGCAGCATTAAATATACCACAGCTCAATGATTAGGTAGATCAAGTCTATTTTTATGTAAACTGCAACTTATGGAAGACCATATTACTTATTTTCTTGCAGAACTTAATAGACTACTATTAACGTAAGAAATAGATCACAAAGGTAAAGATAATGATGTTTTGCCATAGCTTGATACATCTACAGAAAGAAAAGCTCTGGATATGTTCAGTTTCATAAGTGTTGACTGGTTGATACATCAGCCAACCAGAAAAAGTCATTGTCTTTTCGCTTGAGACTGTTCTAACACATCACCATACATGTGAAAAGGGATTAATTTTCATTTTCAGAAGTGGTTTGCCATTGCTTCCTTCCTAGGGCTGAGAGAAAGTGACTGCCCCAAGCTAGCTTTGTGCCTAAGACAGGACTGGAACTCATAGTCTCCTGATTTTAGCCCAGAGCCTTTAACCACTACACCAAACTAGCTGTCATTATTTTAATTGCAGACAGCAAAATAACTTTGGAGGAATTCTTTGTTATAAACAGATGCTTTGGAACAAATATATATAAAAGCACAAATACATATAACTATACATTATATTTTATAATAACACATCATAGTCCCAGCGAATTTTAGTTTATTGTATATATGCTTTGAAATATTGCTCTGATCTAACTCATGACAAAACAAGCATTATGCAAAGCCTTTTGAGCAAGTAAAACACCTTAAAGAAGAACCATGGACAATCTTAGCTGCACCAAGAAACTATGCATTCAGATTTTGTTTCCTTGTTTTCCTGGCACTGAAAGTTTTGAGTACATAAAACTCAAAAGCTTGCTTATAGTATAGTTTAATTTAGCTAAATTAAGAGACCAGGTCCAACAAAGTGAACTGCAAATTGCTGAACTATACATAAGTAGTACAAAACTGCCTGAAAAATAACAATTCACAGATACAATAGGTAAAACCTTCTAGCTAAGGAGCAAAGGAAATTAAGTTAAGATAGCATAAGAAGGAAAATCCAAGTAGTATATAAATACTTTCTTTACCCACAAGAGGCCCAACTAAAAAGCAAATTATTCTGACTTTATTAGGTTGCTATGAAACAAGCAACCAAAACTCCTAATGGTTGTAACCTGAGTGACACTTGCTCTTAGCTTTAAAAGCAAAATTGCTCTTCATTTACACATTTTTGGTATGAATCTCTGCAGGCAATACTTTATTATGCGGGTGGAGCAAAAATCTACAATGCAGTCAGAGATGGTATACATTAAAATGAATAAATGAATGTGGGTGGGACATGATTTAACAGAAAAGATGTGACACCCACTCCTAGAAGCTACTATGCTAATGTGTTTAATCTGTCACTTAATAAAGTAGAATTGTACCTTCTATGTGAATTTTTATTACTATGCAATGGATATCAAGAGAAGTTTTTCATTTCTTTCAGGTGGCCTTCAAATAGAGAACAGAAAAATTCTATTTTCCCTTAGTTCTTGTCTTGCATACAAAGAAGGAAGTGTCCCATACACTAATGGGAAGTATGATAAAATATACATTGCAGAATAATGAAGTGAAAGAAGCATATGAGAAAATTGGTTGCAAGAAATGAGGATGAGAGAAAGAGTATATAATCTGTAAAGAGAGAAAACTATAGTTTCAAAGACATAGTCTAAGAGAACAAGAAGTAGTTAAGATAAAAATAAGCAGAGAAAATGCAGATTAATTTGGAAGGAAATAAAAAATTACTTTGGAAGTTTGTGGGAAAAAAAAACCTAAACAAGAAACCTCCAGTAGAGTGAATAAAATAAAAAATAAAAGTGTTAAAATTATTTGGGATGAATGAAGTGAAGAAATGCTTGGAGTATTTTAGAAATTTGGAATTGAAATGAATGCTATAAATGATAAGAAAATTGATGCAGAGGAAGTAAATGATATTGTGAAAATGTTGAAACATAGTAAGGCCGTAAGTGCAGATGGTATAACTGGAGAAGTATAAAAATATGGATGTGACCAGCAGGATATATGGCCACCCTATATGGGTTCCCAGCATCTGGGAAGTGCAATGCTTCAGGAACAGAAATGTTCAACTTAATTATATTGGTGGGAGAGCCAGTTTGGTATAGTGGTTAAGGCATCAGGCTAGAAACCAGGCGTGTGAACTCTAGTCCCACCTTAGGTACGAAGCCAGGTGGGTAACCTTGGGCCAGTCACCCTCAGCTCTAGGAAGCAGGCAATGGCAAGCCACTTCCAAAAAAAAAGGAGAAAAAAAACCTTGCCAAGAAAACTGCAGGGACTAGTCCAGGAAGTCATCAGGAGTCAAAAACTGACTTGAAGGCACCAAAAAAAAAAAAAACTAATAATAATAAGAAAAGTAGGGAAAATGACCTTTATTT